TGATTTAATGCTGCATAGCTCCTTTTCAGGCTTTGCTGTTGTAAATACCTATGTAGTATTTTGATCCATTTTATTTGCCCTCCGACAGCTATATTTCCGCCACTCATCTCGTAATTAACGTCGAAGATATCTCCAGGGGTGGTTATGCCACTTGTAATAAGTGGCTAGCAACATAATGTGGCTTGATAACAGGAAGAGCTTGAACTGGCCATTGTTGAGCGGTGCCAGCTCTTTAAATCAAGCTCTTCTTTTTCGGTTGGAGCGAGTAAAGTTGAGTAATCCTGACCTGCAGATAGATTATGTCAACATTATGACGGTTGGCTATAGTGTTGATGATGGTTCGTTTGGCTGATGAGAGATCCTCGACGTTAAGTTGTAGAGCCAGTGAGTGGAAATTGTAACGTCAAGGGCAGCTCTTAGTATCGGCACGTAACCGGGATTCATTGCTAAATTAGGTTTGCAAATTGGAGCCTTTGCTTCTCAAGCCTTGGGCTAAGCCATGGCTGAGTACTGATCAGGAGCTCGACGTTAACACGCATCAGTGCTCCGCATGCTCTTTTGAGATGATCCTGGAAGTTGACTTTGACTTCTTGTGAGACTATGCATTAAATCTAGAAAGATTTGTATCCAACAAGGAGTAATTGTTGCAACTTCAGAAGAAAAAGATGATAACGGAAAATGTAAGAAACAATTGATTTCCATGATGTTACATATACTATGCAATTAAAAAAAAAAAAACATGCTCTTTACTACCGTTAATTTGTGTATGTTCATTTAGAGATGTGGCTGAGGAGAAGCATGTATTGGTCCAATTTGATAAAGTGATGGGTTTAAGATTATTGTAAAGCTAGCAATGATTTCTAAACGAACTTCTTCAAGTTGATGAACAATTATGCATTTGGCAAGTTGGAAGAATTTAGAAAGATAGATAAAGTGAATATATGTGCAGATGAAACAAAAATTCTCAAGGTATCAGAAATAAATTGAAAACGACAGTAATTTCTTTCTAACGAACCAAGTGCAAACGTAATCTTTCCAGAATTAGTCAGACAATTTATAATCATACATTGAAGTTTCCATAATTAGGTCTTTCTCATATCCTATATCCGCCTTTTTTGTGGGTTTTGTCGAAAATGTGCTTTGTATATTCTGTTTGTATTGTTAGTTATCTCCATGATGATAGGCTATGTGTAATTGTATACTGGCCTTAACCTTGTCCCAAAATAAGTTTATTGTGTACCTGATGTGGGACATTCATGTTGTTTTTGTTTTGTTTAGAAATAATACATAGCATTTCACCAGGAATTTTTGTATTAATAACAGGATCAATATCAATAAGGTTAAGCATGTTTGTTGGGTCTGGGTCTAGGATACTAAAATTTCCTAAAAATGTCCTGTTGTATCTGATTTTTGTTATAACTGTAGCAACATATTTTATCTTTTAACAACTTAGAATTTTCTAGAAACTAACCTTGGACCTATACCATGGCTTTACTTTTATGTCGTAGCCTTTTTTAACCAAGCTTGTTTGCTTGAAATATTATTCATATTCTGTGAGAATATTAAAAGCAATATTAGTTATAAGTTTGTGTTCATTTGTTGATAGGTGTGGAATTATTTATTAAAATTATTAGTCTCTAGAATTGCAAAGTGTTCAGCAATATCATCGACAGAAAATATCTGATCAATAGTGAATTCAGATATGACAATCTTTTATTATATTATTGCTATTAATTGGAAACTGTTTACCCATTACCACACTTCTGGCTATTGGTACAATAATACATTCAAATTCAACAGTAAAATCAACACTTTCGGCGCCGAATCTTATTTCGAACACAGGTTGAATTTATTAGAGTTTATTTATTATCACTTGTGAAAAATTGTTTTAAACTATTTAGGATTAAATTCGCAATTCTCGCATTATTCTAAATTTTCACTTTTGATACTAAAGAAATAAATTATTTGTTGAATTTTACAAAACCTTTTATTTTTCACTCTTTTCTGTTACTTTAGTTTAAAAACAAAGAACAGTAATAGATGACTGTAGGATATATAATTTCATATTGAACAGCCAAGAACACAAATAACATAGAGCTTAGCAATCCATCTGTATCTTTTCTTTGAAATTTTGTGAGATTAGTGTTTCAGTATGTGTGTGATTAATGTATATTGAGTGTATGTTATTGATGGTCAACTTGATTGACAGGGTCATATCATTTTAATACATCACGTTTCAAGTAACAAAAGAAAATAATGGAAACAACAAACTTTGTTCGTTTTTACAAAGAAAATTTTATTTCTATACAAAACAAGGTGAAAAAGATGAAAATATAAAGCAGGACTTGCGGTTTGTGAATAAAAATCCAAAACATTCATTCTACATATGTGAATATATCCGAGTCACATCAATAAAAAGTTCTGAGTCTTGTTTGAAAGATGAAGGGTGATTATGTCAGATGAAGTCTTTACACAAATGTTCATAATTTTACGTTGAAACACAATTCGTACTATACTGTTCCGATTTAGAATCAATTTCACTAAATTTTTCCTAAACCACTTGAATATTTTTCCAGGAAATAAATTATTATTCAAACGGAAGATGAACTCCAATAGCTGTCATCTATAGAAAGGCTTTGTAGATGTAATGAAAATAAACTCTTTCCATCACAAGAAAACTATACCCTACCTCTTCAATGTATATTATACAACTCAATCCAGCAAGAAAAAATATAATACCTTCTTCTCAATGAATACTATACAATTGACTACGACACTGCTGAGAGATATTATTTAACTGCCTATTTCTCAGGGACCTAAGACTATTTAAATTAAACTGAGACGTTATTTCATGCTGCACGCTCACGGATAAAAAGTGGTATTTCATCATCTGACAATGCTTAGTACACTATATGAACACGTATATTTAGAAAAGACCTAGGCCGCAGCCAATAATATGCGTCGTTTGTTCATCAAAACCGTTTATCAAAACAAATCTTACAAAACGCTAGAACCAATTACGTTCTAAATAAACAAAACTCTTACTAAAGCCGAGAAACATATACGTTCTAAACAAACAAACGTTTGCGAAGATATCAGTTCCCGTGAACAATCATCACAATAAAACACTATGATACTAAAATAAAATACAAAGAATTCGAATTTTACACACAAGTAATTAAAATACATAATCGCAACAACAGCTTAATGTGCGTATAAATAAGTAGAATAAGCAAACGGTGCTAACAATTTAAGCATAAAGAAGCAGAATTAAAATACCCATGTCTTACTAGTTTTATAGTTGTGAAATGTTTGAAACTAAATTGCATGACTTGTAATGATTATGGCAAAAACAAAAACATGTTAAAAACTATTCTAAACGTGTCACCTACTATAAATAAATTACAACTTAAGTGAAAATTATGGGTCGGACAACCAAATGAATTCAAAATTAATGAAAGAAAGCTATTTAACTTTGGTGTGCCCAATGACTCACGATAACAGCTGTGTACTTGATCTTCCTTGAAATAACATGGAGCTTGTACGTTACGCTTTTAATTAGTTGTTAATATCCACACTGCGATGGACGGACACATATTACTAAAAGGATTTAGCCAATATTTACAACGGGCTTCTGGAATACGGATTAGGAACCATTCTGTATCAAATTAAACGTACAATAAAGCTGACGGGATTTATTAAAGCTGGTGATTTCTTTAGGCGTACTAAGTTTTGAAGGTATATATCTAGATCTTAATTATTATAGAAGTCATGGTGGATAAATTGTCAGGATTTTGATACAAGACATGCACTCTACTTTCAATTCAAATCTCTATTCCATGTGTTTTTAAAGTTAAGCTGGATTATGATTTATGTTCTTGACATTTCACCTGGTCTTAAGTGAATGAGTAATATAACTCTTAATTCGTGCCAAGGTAATGAGTTAAAATTGGGTTGAACATAAGTTCAAATGTTTAGTGGTCAGCTTTGCCACCCTACCATCTAATAAAACCATAAACGTATGCTTGGCTTGTAAACATAAGCATGAAATTTATAAGAACATACAAGTGTGGTTTTTTCTCTTTAAGTTAGCGCAAATATTACCGATTTAGTAATTTTTTCCTATCTGTGTCTGAGGAAAATGTCCCATGATGCAAAATATTATCAGAACGCTAGTACAGAACACACGGCCAAATTTATATATAATCTATTTAGTCATAACCATTTCTGTAATATTTAATGAACTATCTAGATGTGATCATTAGAAGTATGAATGTAATATTGAATAGCCAATTAGTCACTGAATTATCGTCAAAAATTGTGTATACTTCATGTTTATGCATTTACCTAAAATAAAATGATTTTGATTTTCTTTTTAGCATACAACAATACACCTTGAATGGTTTATTTACATGTTAAGTTTTTTAAATACTGTGTTTGGTTCATTCACTGCTGCACGAATAAAGTGCTTGTAATGAGAAACCAATTACCTAAAGCTATTTGACCATAGTCTTAACCATAGCCAGGGAACTAATAAAGCCAGCTCAGCCAGTCATTTCACAACGAAAAAAATGTTTTGATAGGAAGCTGTCCACACTACAGATGACATCCTGACCAAGGAAAATCCTCTAATGAAAGTATATTAGTACTAATGTGGGCACATCACAACTAAACCAGATATTGAATGCACAATCAGTAACACATATACGAATATTTGCAGGAGCAATGTTCAACTGTAGAGCAATGTGAAATATTAATTTGTGACATGATTTTGATTTCTAATGTAGCTTTAACAATTTTTTCAGTCATATCGCTACTATGTCTGCAGTATGACAGTTTCATATTTATGTCTAGCACTGGGGCATCATGCCGCAAACATGTAGCATGATGTCCCACCCAGTCACATAATCTTGACACCAGGCCAACCAATCCTAACACTAACCTTTAACGCTGAGCGCCAAGGGAAGCAGCTGTTAGTATTGTTTTTGTAAGTCTTTGGTATGACTCGACTGGGGATCGAACCCACGTTCTCCCGCATCCAAGGTGGACGTTTTAACCACTTGGCCACAGAAGTGATGAAATATAAATTTGCATTCTTCTTTTGTTATCCGTAATATATGACGGAATTGTTTTATATGTCTGATGTTCCAGTATATATTCCACATTTACAGATACAAGATCTATGTCATATAACAACATGCTACTAGATAGACCATATTCTTTTCTCTGGTTAATCATTCTGAACAGATTTCGATTCATTCATATGTTGCAAGTTTATAAGAATAAAAAAATGTCCGAGTTTTAATGTTGTAAGATTATTACATTTCTACATCACTATGTCACTTATTCCTCACGGATCTAGTGATTATAAGTTTAGTTGAAATCTTGGACAGAGGTGTGATGACATTTAGGGTTAGGAGTGGGTGGTTTTGACATCCAAATCACCTGGGGCCTAATAAGAAAATGTTATTTTCTATGTCAGGCATAACATTATATCATATCGTGGTCCAAACTATTGACAGAAAGGTATACATTACACACAAATTAGCATTATGTAAATGACATTAAAATGATATAATGACGTTATAAATATGTTACTCCCATGGATCATGATATATAAAATTTCAAGCATAAAGGTATATATCTATATTTAAATTCCTACAAAGTGAAAACTAAAAAGTTTTTGAAAATTCAAATTGACCTGGAAAGAGAAAGGCCATTTTATTATTTGAAAATCTTCACATTAGTTATTCACTGCAACTGAATGCAATTTCCAAAACTTACATTATAGTCAAATTTAAGTCAATATATAAAGAAGAATTTGAGGGCAAATGCCCTTTCAAAGCATATACATTTTTAAAATTTCTTTAAAATAATTTAATTTATTTGTTATTACCTTGAACTTAACAGAGTTTGTATTCGACTATTAATCGAAAAGACAGAAAAAATTTAAAAAAGAAAAAGATTTCTATATACTTCACAGCAATATAATCATGTCCCTGATGTTACATCCAACTCAATTTTCAGTCAATCCGCTGTCAATTAGCCCTTGATGCAGCTGTTTGAGAGTCTCTAGTATTAAACCAATAACAATCGATGTGAGATACAGATACAGAAATGTGTGATATAATGGGCCTAAGTTATACTTTAGAGAAGACTACAGAAATGTGCTATATAACTATTGCATATCACTGCTATAGCATTAGACTGCATAATCGTGTTTCATTTTACCGAATGCCACAAATTGTCTACTACGTTTGACGTACTTTCTTGTGCAGTTTTGATAATTAGCAAACACTTGGTTTTACTTGACCATTTCCCACAAAATGTCTTAAAAAGTCACTAGTACGGCAGAACTCACTTTAGATAAATTTATTGTCACATTAACATCAGCGAGTCTTTCAAAGACTTTCTGAATCGTGGCTGGATGTCCTTGTAGGAATATCCGGAAACTTGTGTTCATATTTTAATAAAAACTGTTTAAGTTCATTTCTTACTTCTTGCTGCAAATATAAAAATTTCTGGTCTAGATCTTTCATTATTTACCAATTTCGAAGCTATTTTTCTTCCATGTTCAACGGTGTCCAATTGAATTTCTTCACATAAATCCTCAGTTTGTGGGACATGTACCACTAAGTGAATTATAAAAATTGACTTGGCTATCTCTTTCAAAATATAAGTACTACATTAATTTATTTAGACCTGAGCACTATAATTTTAATTGAATTCATTCACTTTCTTCTTTACTTTGCAAAGGCCATAAAATCTAACTTGAAGAAAATTTTGAAGATTGAGCAAGAGAGAATGAACTCTATCACAAGACTCAAGTATTGTCTTAAGTAAATATTCGTGAAACTTTAGTTTCAGTTTCGACTTGATATGCAGAGTGCCAAATTCAAGAAGAACATTCTGGAAAAGACCAGATTTGAATTTTGACTTTTGACCTGATAGGACAGATATAAAAGGCAAAACTGAGTAAAAATCTTTAGTAATGCTTTTACTATAGAATTCCTCAAAGGAAGTGCCTCTGGGAATTTTGTTGACGCACGCATAATGGTCAACAAGTATTGGTTGCCTGACATGGTCTTAGGTAAGGGACCAACACAATCTACCTTAATTCTGCTAAATGGTTAGTCAGATGAATGAACTGGTTGTAGATGTGCCTTTTGCATCTTCTGATTGGGTTTCTCTACCATTTAACAAGTATGACAAGATCTACAAAATTTGCAAACATCACTTTTGAATTTTGGCCAGTAGAAGTGAGTTAAGATCTTGTTATAAGTTTTATTTATTTCTAAATGACTAGCCAAGGGAGTTTCATGGGCCAAATTAAGTATTTCCTGTCTGTAAGATTGTGGAACTACAATCTGATGGTTCACTGAAACACTCTTCATTAGCAGGTACCTAGGAAGGTCTTCATTTTCTCATAAGAATTACATTTTTATGAAGTAACAGACAGGTATTTCAGTTGCTGCACTTTCACTAACGGCCCTCTGAAACAAAAAGGAGATCTCATGGTCTTTTTCCTGGGAGGATTGCAGTAATGGTGGCTATAGATGGAAGGTAGTAAAAGTGGCTCTGTAGATTTTGGCGGTTATGAGTGGTTTCTTTTAAAAGTGAAATGGTTCATATTTGTTGGGATATGTGAATATTCAAGAAATGCATGGTGTATAACATTATTGGTCTATCACACTCAATTTTGAAAAATAAAAGTGTTTTCCACTCAAATTCATAAGTGATTGACTAGAGAAGAGAGCTTAATGGGTGTAGTTTTGAGCCTTTCCCTGCCTGATTTGCTTGACTAATTTACTTATTTCGGTGTTGTTACCTGTCTACATTTTGCTTTCATTTAAAGAATTCTTTGGCACATGGTCAGTACTGATCAGTGTTACAAATGAGTAGTGGGAAAATTAGTCAAATAAAGATTAGCTACAATCATGAGTGGAAAGAAAGACAAAGACAAGCAACAAATGAAAACCAGATTACTGAGAGGGTCCCTAATGGAAACATCTGACACAAGTTTGAGTGAAACAAGTTTGAGTACAATTCAGCTGGACTTAGAGATGAAATAAGGCAATGCCTCAAAGAGAGCATTTCCAAAGCGGATTTTAGATCTACTATTGCTGATTTGGTGAAAAATTGTCTCAGCCATTGTGAGGAAATTGTTAGAGAATGTGAAAGAAGATCGGAGAAAGGAGATTGCTGTAAAAAGTGAAAGGGTAGTAAAGGAGAGGACAGGAGAGTGGATAGATATGGTGGAATCACTGGAATTCGAAAACCACCAATTGCGAGTAAAATTACAAGAGGTGGAAAAGGACAATGATAAAATGAAAAGCGACATGAAAGTATGGCAGGAGATCAAACCAAGCAAGTGCAGCCTCAAACCAAATGGAACAATTTTCAAGAAAGCTGAATGTTAAAGTTTTAGATATGGAGGAGAAGTAGAATAAAAGTCTGAGGGAGAAAACTCCGAAAGTCACAAAGATTAGTTTGGATAACAGGGACATAGTGCTCTACATAGGATACCAGGCCAACAAGGACAGCCAAGGACAGTGATTATCAAATTCTGGAGTATGAATTGTAAACTTCCAATAAGTGGAAAGACTTTAAACAGAGCAAAGCTATTAGGCTGGTAGAGTATGTGACAAAGATGAATACGGAACTTATCAATAAATTATCCAGGCATCAGGAGATTGATACTTTAACGGATTTGTGTATGATAAAAACAAATCATGAAAAAGGATAAAATTTTACATTTATGATGGTATTGATGAAACAATTAGAGTATAAGAGTCATATACAACTCTATAAAATCCTGAATATAGCCAAATAGGTATGTCAACCTTTCTTATTGATACTCCCATTTGTTCTCTATTTTTTTTTCTTGTTTTTACTTTCTTTTATCAATTTTGTCATTAGTTAATAGATTTATTACTCACTCGTCAATTATATCAATCTCTCCTGAATCCATTCATCCATTAATTCATAAATCATCTTTCACGCATATTCAAATCTACTTACTCAGTTGTTTATTCATCATATTCAATACTACTCATCCACGTTTCCTTCTCTCATTCATTTTTTAATTTATACTATTATTAATCTGTGCCTATTGGAAATCGGTCAAGGGCGATTAAGAGTTATCATAAATGGAGCTGTTTCACTGGTTGTCTATCGTTCATGGTATAAGTGCTAACTGCAACCAAATCTACAGCATGCATTGCAACACCATGGATGTTTTTATTATAGATATTAGTATTTTGTGTATGTGCGTGTGGATGTGAAAACTATTCATACGATAAATTCAAGGCGATAATCATTCATACATTCCTGAACAAATACATGTCTGCGTAAAATTTCTGCCGCTCTCATGGATAATAACGTAAAAATTATATTTATAAATGGTACAGGCCTGCAAAGTTCAGTTCTTAAACGAATGGACATTTTTCACTTGGTAAAACAAAAGAATGCATCCATAGTATGCTTGCAAGAAACTCATATTACAAAGCACGATGAAACATAAAGGGCAGCTGAATGGGGATACAAATGTATATTTAGCCACTGTTCTAGGGAATAGTGCTGGGGTTGCAATATTTTTTAGAAATACGTTCGAATTTGTAATTCATAGAGAAAGATGTGACATTCAAGGAAGGTTTATAGTTTTACACATTACAATTAACGGCAACAGAATAACCCTCGTGAATTTGTATGGTTATAATGAAGATAATCATAGCTTCTTTAAAAAGTTAAAGGAGATTTTATTTCTTCAGAACTCGTAAATCATAATGTGTGGAGACTGGAATACTGTTCAGGATTTAGACTTGGATACTTATAATATTTAATATGACAAACACCAACAGTCCAGAGCAGTGATCCAAGACCTAAAAAAGATATGGAACTAATTGATCACTGGCAAAATTCGAATTAAGACTTAAGGATGTATACCCAGAGGCAAAGATCTACTTTGAAACAAAGTAGATTAGAATACTTTCTCGTATCTGAAGACATTCATATGAATACGGTTGATGTGGGTATCTTACCTGGATATAAGTCTGATCATTCTGCTATTGCTCTGA